TATGGTTATAAGCTGAGTAAAATTTGTTAAAACTTTTTTTCCACTACTAAAGAGGTAGATCCCAACAGTTTTCATTACTATTGTTTTTTATTGGACAATCTGAAGTAATGGAAAGTAATCATGTCTAATTGACCTAAAGAAATTTAGAGTAACTGTTTAGTCATTTTATGCTTCTTTTAATTTTTCAACTTTCTGTATCATTCCCCCATTTCATTGATCACTTGGTCTGATATTCAGGTAGTCTTCACTTTATGACAGTTCGTTTAATGGATGTTTGAAGTTATCATGGTGCTGAAAAAAATGTCTTGGGAACAGTTCTCACACAACCACAACATAAGTGGTCGTATGATTAAAATTCAGGCGCTTGGCAACCAGTATTTATTCAAAAAATTCCAGTGTCCTAGGGTCATGTGATCATTATTTGCAACTTTCCCAGGGGTCTTCCAAGTAAGTCAATAGGGGAAGCTGGATTCATTAACCACAATGATTCACTTAACAACTGTGACAAAAAGTCCATTAAAATCAGCTGTAATTCACTTAACCACTTAAGTGATGGAAGTTCTGGGCACATTTATGGTTATAAGTCGAGGACTACCTGTACCTAGCTTTTTGAGCTCACCCTTCTGAAACTACAGGATTAGTTTTCAACAAGTAGCTGAAATGTCAGAGTAATCAAACTAAACATTTTAGAAAGGAGTTTTTTTTAAGTCACTGTCTGTACCTGTGCAGAGATGGAACTGAAATGTTCTGGAGCTGAGACAAATAGGTGGAAATGCTTCCTGTTTTGCTCATTGTGCATCCCCATGGCAGCACTTCTTAATTCTGCTAGTTCTGTCCTGCTTACTATAGCTTTAACAGTGATCTGGATAGTGTACCTTGCTTTAGAACAGGGCTGTCAAACTCGCAACCTGTAGGCCAGATGCATCATGGGCAGGCCACGCCTACTCCCGGTTTAGCGAAGGGGGGGAAGTCTTGATATGTCATGTGACATTGCTGTGACACTGCGAGTTTTACACCCCTGCTTTAGAAGAAAAGATAATTCAGGTGAAAAAAACTTAATATCCCTGCTGTTTTTTTCTCCCTACACAATTATCTTTTTGCTGGCATATTAGAAATGAATTAGGTAAATGGAAGGAGGGGATGGAGAAAGGCTGGGATTTAAGGACAAGAAAGCAGAACATTTACCTTTATATTTCTCCCCATGGTGTGATTAGCAAAGGGCCTGGAAGGCATGTCTGTTAAGTAGATCTGTATGAGGCTTGAAAATCAAAATCTTGTAGAGTGCTCATCAGTGACTCATCATCAGTGAACTAAAGTATTAGGTAAGGTTCACAGGCCTTGTTCCTGGTCCCAGTAGCTTTTAACATGTTGATGAAGGGATTGAATATGGAAGGCAGGCAGGAGCTGGTTAGGCTATCTTGGGCCTGCATCACATATGGATCCCAGAGTGCATGCAGCAGCCTCTCAAACAGCTTTGTGCAGCCTGTCAGGTTTTTTAAAAAAAATAGCTGATCCAGTGATTTAAAAAAAAGAAGCTGATCCAGTGGTAGCAACTGTGGCTGTTGCCAGGACGTTCTGCAGGCTTTCACAGCTACGTTCACTCTGGAAGACATCCTGCTGACTGCCTTTGGTAGCCTCATGGACACTGCCAACTTCTTTCCTGCGGTTTGCTGCTGAAAGCTGATCGGCATAGCAGCAATTCTTCAGCGTAATTTTAAAGATATTAATCTGGCTTTTCTCTCCAGAAATTCTGCAGTCTGGTCTAGCTAATGTTCTAAAAGATATAAACAGAATTCAAAATTGCCTTGATCCAGCTGTTTTCCTAGTGGAAATAACAATTAAATTCAACATTATACAATAGATATGAAATATACTACCATAATGATATTCCAGTGAAACTAGTTTTTTGCTATTATACCTTGAAAGTTTTTCTGCCTATATTTTATTACCTATACTTGATTCTGTGGCAGATGGGTTTATTTGGGAGCTCTGGTGGTGCAGTGGTTAGAATATAGTACTGAAAGCTGACTCTAACCACAACTTGGAGTTCGATCCTGAAAGGCTCAAGGTTGACTCATCCTTCCAATAAATGAGGATCCAGATTGTTGGGCAGCATGCTGACATTGTAAACCACTCAAGAGAGTGCTGTAAAGAACTATGGAGCAGTATACAAGTCTAAGGGCTATTGCTATTACTGTTATTTATTTATGCATTCATTCAGCTTAGAGGTTGCCTCGTTACTTTAGTTGCTACTAATTAAAAAGTAAAAAGTAAGAATCATAGTACAGAAGAAAAGAACCCATCCAACAAGGGGCTCAACCATCATTATACCCTGGGAGAATAACTCGACCTTCAATAGTAACGGCGCCTTCTTAACGAGGCCAACCTACAATCTTGGCCTGAGGGAGCTTTGGCCCTCTCTAATTGCTGGCTAAGAGAGCCTCGCCCCCCCCCCCCCCTACTGCTT